TTGAAGGGTTAACTTGCCCAAAACAGTGAAAGAAAAAGCTGCTTCTGTGTGAATTTCTGCAGACTGTGAACTTCTGAGCCCTTCCCCTTACATGCTGGGTATAAAACTCTGAAACTCCCTGAACTCGGGGTTCAGGGGATTGATTCATTAAAGCAAAAGCTGTGCCCTCGTTTGTCCCTACAACATCTGTTGCTTGAGGAAAGAACCATTTCTTAGTTGGGACAGGTGCTGGCCCTGAAGTTTGGATTCCTTCATTCCTGTGGTTCATGTGCTGAAGGACAGATAACAGCCTAGGACCAGAAGGTTCATTTTGCATCCTCCATGGTTGAGGAAGGGGAGAGGGAGAAGAGGAGGGACAAAAAAGTCAGTTTTAAAATAAACTGTAAAAAAAAAAAATAAAATAAAATAAACTGTGATGGGGCTGGGGTTATAGCTCAGTTGGTAAATGCTTGCCTTGCATGTACAAGGCCGTGAGTTCAAAACCCAACACCATAAATAAATAAACTGCAATGAGCTGGGGTTGTTGCTAAGTGGTGGAGCGCTTGCCTCACATGGGTGAGGCACTGGGTTTGATCCTCAGCACCACATAAAAATAAATAAAAGAAGTATTAAAAAAAAACTGCAATGGCAGAGCAGGTGTTACACAAAAGCATGAAGTGGACTCCTGCTATATTGCTCACCAGGGAAGGGGTGGGTGGATTCTGGAATTCTCTGGAGGTTTCTGGACTGGTGTGAGTCCAGAGGCTGAGGTAGCATACCTAGAGGCCTGACTCTAAATTTTTGCTGTTTTACTGCTTTTCAGCACCATAGCTCCTTGAAGCCACACCCAGGAGGCCTTRATTCTTTCACAACTATTCCTGCCCCTTTGCTTATAGAATAAGCATCATTGCTTCTTTGATTTCATCCTATCTTTTCACACAGGAGGAAGTTGCCACTCAGAAGTTATTGGGTTTGTGCCCAAGGTCACACGGCTGTTTATCAGTGGAGTGACTGCCAGAAAAAAGAATCCAGGGCCTCCTATTTTTAGCCTGGGCTGTTGGAGAGGAGCATGAGGTGACTGGCTAAAATGGGCTGATCCTCTTACATTGGTGTCCTTAGGCCTAAATGAAGACTAGGTTTGAGACTAAAGTGGAAGATAAATAATAAGATATTAAAGTGCCAGTGGAAAAGCAGCTATAGGACTTTATATATAGGACTTTCAAAAGGAACATGGATGCCCAGAGACAAAAGGCGCCTTAGAAAAACTCAGTGCTTCGTTGAAGGATCCTTAGTTCCCAGAGATGAGCAGAGGGTACACAACATAATCAGATGGTTTTCTCCTCACCAAAGCACTTGGCCATTGCAGGCTGTCTTCTTGTTGCTGTTATTATTGCTGGGAATCGAACCCAGGGCCTCCCGCCTACTAGGCAAGGGCTCTACCAACAGACTATGTCCCCAGCCTAGGCTGTCCTGTTGAAAGAAATCTTCCAGAAAAGAAGAACCTTGCTAGACAAAGAGGAGAAGTCAGGATATTCCGGAGATAGCCAGAGTCTGTTTTGTGAAGAAAATAAAACAAAAAAAACTAGGAAGATGAAGGGAGTAAATGTTTGGGTCCAAGCAGTAAAAACTGGGCTACTGTCCATAAAGTTCTCTAAAAATGTTATTTTTCACTTATTGATGATTGGGGATTAAGTTGGAATCTTCTCCCTGGCCTTTGGCAAGCCATTTCTTTAGGTACAAAAGCTTCCCAAGCACCAAGCTCCATTTAATCCTCTACTTCTTTCCACAACTCGGGAATCAGCTAACCAATATGTGGCCACTCTTAACAGTATAAGAAAAATTCTGTAATCTCTAAGGGAAATAGAAATGGTAAATTTAAGAATACTGACAATTATTTAAAGTTCCTTGGGGCCTAACATTCATTTCATGGGTCCAGAGCAGGCCTAGGCCCTCCCCCAGCCATGGAAAAACCGCAATATCGCAGAGGGAGACAGGAGGTTTGGGGGAGGAATAAAAGCAGCAGAAGGTCATAAATGAGGGATTCAAGAACAGCTTCTGCTAGCTAATTGTGTCTAATTTTAAGCAAATCATCAACTCCCCAGGCTTCCAAATCCCTATCTGTAAATCGTGGTGACCTGACTCAGTTTTCTTCCTTCCAGAGATAAAATTCTATTTAAAATTTTCCAATTCCAGAGCAAGCATCAAGACCGTGTCCAAAGGGAAACCAGCTGCATCTCAGTAATATTCCACTCTTAAACCTTTAGAAAAAGAAGCAAAAAAGATAAATCAGGAACAGCTTTGACAGAGTCAGTGGACAAAACCTGCTGCAACTGGCCCTGCTTTATGGGAGTTGGGAGATGAAAGATGGGGGCTAACACAGGAGCCCCCCTGGCCAGCACCCCATCCCTTCACAACCACTACTGTCATTTACAGGAGCGAAAGGGCTTTTGCTAATAAAAACATTTAAAAATAAAACAAAGTATCAATTCACCCACTTTCTTTGTCATTATTCAGTTGCCATCCCAACCTACGCAGGGTCACAAGGCTTCCTCTCCTGGAAGCTGATGCCTAAAACAGGGCAGTTTGAGGCTGGGGTGACTCAGGGGTGGAGGGAGGCCCTGGGGTCCATCCCAGCACTCAAGGGAGGCACTTTACAGGTTCCAGGTAAGATCCTGTTGGTAAGCAAGGGGCGAGAAGGTGGCGTCATCACTGTGTCCTTGGTGCCAAAGCTCCAGTCCTACGCCCGGATTGGGATTGAGTGCTTCATCTTGAGCCACCGGCTTGTTTCTCTTCTAAAAGGCCTGGCAGCAGCTAGGTCAGCCTGAGACCCCCTTCTGGTCAGAACCCGGACTTATTATGATATTGCCAGTTATTGGTGATGAGTGAGTTCTGCTTCCTCACAATGTGAAGTCTGAACCTTAGAGCAGCAGGCCAGGCAAGGACATAAAGCAGGGTTTATGTAAAAAGCACTGGACTCCTAACACAGACTCCTCCTGGAGGGAGAAGGGGCCATGGCTRTACCCTGGTGTGCCAAGAAGGGAGGCTGCCCTCTCTGTCCTGGGGTCCTTTGTCCTCCTGCTCTCCTCCTCTTCTCTTCCTCCTTCCTGYGGGTGTGACTAGGCCTAGGAAGTGCTGGTGGGGTGGCCTAAAGGTAGGGGGAAGGGCAGGGTGGACAGGCCTGGACACAGTCACCCACAGCTTCAGGACTCCCAGTAGGGAGGGCCTCTTGGGACAGGTGACCTCAGCAACGGGCAGGGGCAGGGTCTGGATCAGGGTGGAGGAAGGGCTCCCGGGAACTAACATTTCAATCTCTCAGGGGACATTCTCCGACTTCCCCCACTCACTCAAAATTAGCCTCCTTGATCCGACCAGACTCAGTTTACCTGTCTCTACTGCCTGCCTGCCTAATTCTAGCTTCAATTACACCTGGTGACCTCCAAAGCGTGTTTCCATAAAGATACAGCATTGGATAATTAGCAGGGATGGTGTGTTCATTTTTAATGACGGGGAGAGGAAGGAAAGGAAGGAGGAGGGGCAGCGAGAGGCTCCTCCGGGGCAAGACCAGAGCCCACGTGCGGGACCCCCAAAACCTGGAGACCAGAAAGACTAGGCTCGTCCTCGCTGCGCCCTGCCCCCACCAGGGTACGGCTGCAGTCCTGGGGGTGGGGCACGCCTGCGCACTGAGGCGCTGCGTCAACCGCCGCACTCGCGGCCAGGACCGGCTGGAGCCGGTTAGAACAGGCAGCGCCCGCCCGCGAGCCGGCGCCTCACAAAGGGAGGGCGGCTCACGGACCTCAGATCCTTGCGCGGCGCGCCTGCAGCCCCTCCCCCGGCCTTTGTCCCCGGCGGAAGGGGCCGCAGCTGGCTTTGGGCTTCCGGGCGCTCCCCTCCCCCTCCTCCTCTGAGGCCGAGGATTCTGGAAAYGGAGGGTCCCCCGCCGCGTCCGCTGCAATTGGGTGCACACTCGTGTTGGGGAGCTGCACGGGTGCCAAGATCTCTCCAAGAGCCCCTGAAGCAGCTCCAGGGAGAGTTCTGTTTAAATAAAATAGAAGTTCTCAAACCGCAATAAAAAGCTTTGGGGTTTACAAAAATTCTTTCCTTTTGCTGTCCGCCCCTCCCCCGCACAAGGCAAGCTCAGGGCGAAGTAGGGGACGGTACGGAATCTGTAGAGCCACCCCCGGCGCCAACGCAGGAGCAGGGGTTTGTAAGCAATGGGGGTCCCGGAACTGCTTTCCTCGAGGCAAGGCGGCTCCTCCTGCGGGGGGACTTTGAAAAGGTGGCGACGTGGCTGTGGGTAATTGTGAGAGCCTGGAGGCTGAGGACGACTGAAGGGGGCCGGGAAGCGGGCTTAGGGAGCAAGGTGCAGGGGTCCGGCGGCGGGGACAGAGTCCCCCAGGCCCGGCCTCCCAGGCCCCCGCCCGGGGCAGTCCCTACGAGTGGGTGTTTTCAGGCCGTGACTCCCAGATAACCCGGGGGCTTCTCGAATGAGTCAAACCGTGTGCCGTCCGCTCGGCCCCCAGGCGCAGGGTCTGGCTCGGGGAGAAACCATTTTGTTCCTGCCATTTGCTTGCTATCGCCCAGTTACAAAATGGAGATTCAGCCATTTCAAACCCAATCCGACCTTCCTCCAAAGGACTGTAAACTCCCCACTGCACCGAGAAAACACGAAAGGTTGTTTTGAGAGCTATTTTTAGACGTCCCAAGGAATAGGAGTTTCTGTGAACTTCTGGATAAAGGACTTAAATGTAATAGTCATTTCTTTAATTAGCCTACATTGTAAGCTTAAATCTACTTGCAAGTGGTTCTTAAGTATTTCTGGGTATTAGTTTTCATTCAAGTTCCATACAATGTAAAGAAAAATCCAGAAAGTTTAGAAGTCAGAGTCTATTTTTAGTCCTGCAGAGGAACTATTTTTCCTTCCCTCACAAAGGTGGCGGAGGGCTACTTGGTTCCGGCTGTGTGAGTTGTCAGTGGCCTATAAATACGCCTCTCCCCGCTCTGCGGCAGGCATTCAGGCAGCGAGCGCAGAGAGAGAGCACAGGAGGCGGCAGCACAGCTTGAGGAAGCKGCAGATAAGTTTTTCTATCTGAAAGGAAAAGATAGCGACTAGGATAACTATCAGACATAAATAGGGAATAGCTTTCTAAAATACTGCTTAGCATTAAGTTCTTAAAGTAGTTTTAATACGATTTAAAAAGATTTTGAGGAAACTAGGCTTTAAAAGCTTGAGAAAGGAAGAAAGAAGAAAAAGGTGTTTGTACATGGCAGATTGAGACGAAGCTTCTTAGTAGAGTTAAAAAAAAAAAGATTTAAAAGAGGATTGCAGAGTCCTTAATAAAAGCCTTTAGTTGGAGTGCAGCCGTGTAAACTAACATTAAAGCGATTTAAACAGAATCTAAGCCGAGTTTAAAAGAGTGAAGCTGTAGGTGGTGAAAAGTCATTTAAAAGTACAGTATAGGTGATAATTGGAAGGCTTTAAAAGGTTAAATTGAAGGTGGTTAAGATGCCTTCATGGCGGAGGAAAGATTGCGTCATTCGAAGCCTAGTTAATCTTAAAAGCATTACTTTTTAAAAAAACCCATGAAAATGGGAAGATAATAGGTTAAAAGCAATTTGGAGAAAGAAGATTAGAAATTTGAAGTGGAAAACTGAAGACAGAAGTACAGGAAGGTGAAGAAGAGATAGAGAAGATGTAGGAAGATAGAGAAGATGTAGGAAGACAAGAATTTTAAACCCACAAAATAGGAAGCGAAAGAAAACTAGGAGGAAAAAAAGCAATTAAGGGTGAATGTACAAACCTTAGAAGAAAACTAGAAGATAGAAAAACAAGATAGAAAATGGCTGAAAATGTCAAGTAAAGGTATTTCAGATAGAAAATGCAAGAAGCTAAGACAACTATTGGATACAGACATTCAAGATAGAAAAAGGTAGAAGAGAAGTTTGAAGTCGAATATTGGATAAAATAGAACAAGGAAATTATTAGTTTTTCAAAAAGCCCATCAACTTTAATTTCTGGTGGTGCAGAAATTAGAAGTCTCAGATGAGGGTGTTCAAATTTGCAGACGAGCCAATTTAGAAAACGTTAAACTAGAAGGAAATTGGTTTAAAACCACATCAAAAAATTAAAAGGACTAAAGTAATTCTAAAAACTAAGGCAGAATGCTTTTGGAAGACTTGAACTTAAAAGGCTTTAGATCCAGTAGTTTAGTTTGCTTTGAAAATATAAAGGACTTTGATTACTCAAGTATTTCAAGATCAAGAATAATGTGTTTGCATTGGACTTTGAGCTAAGATGATTTGTAAAATTATGAGGACTAGCGTTAATTGGCAGCTGACCCAGGTGCTACACAGAAGTGGATGCAGTGAACCTAGGAAGACAGGATTCCAGGAGCCAGAGTTTGATGAAGCTAGGACTGAGGAGCAAGCAGCAGTTCGTGGTGAAGATAGGAAGGAGTCCAGGAACCGGTGCGGTTTGGTGAAGGAAGCTAGGAAGAAGGAAGGAGCCCTAACGATTTGTGGTGAAGCTAGGAAGGCATTCCAGAAAGGAGCAGCCAGTGCGATTTGGTGCTGAAGCTAGCTGGCGTCTTTGGCTTGTCAACTACTGCGGAGGAGGCGAGCATGCATTGTGGAGAATAGCTAGCCGACCCTAGACCAGCATGGCAGTGTGCGAGGCTTCGGGGAGAGCGAGTGGTGTGGTAAAAGTCCGGGCGGTCGACGATGTCGTTTATTTTGTAACTTGAGCGTGGTAACTTTATTTACTTGTTTCCTAATGGTAATGGGGGAGTTGTACCTCTGGAGAGGGATTTTTGTGGGGGTGTGTGTGTGCATATAGGCCGATTTCCGGGTGTTATAGGTTTTTCTTTTTCAGGCTTATGTTCTCATCTTTGTCTGAAGCTTTTGAGGGCAGACTGCCAAGGCCTCCAGAAATGGTAGATGGCAAGTTTGGTTTTTTTTCACCAGTGTGAAGGAAAAGTGAATTTTACAGAACATACAACTTCTGCAAATTTTCAAGCAGCTTGTGTTTTTAGTTGGCAATGAAGTATTTGGTGAATAGATGACTTATTTTCCTTTTCCTCACCCTGAATTAGTTTTGTAAATGAGTCTGGGTGTTAATTGGGGGGGGGTAGTTTTTCTTTTTTGTGGTGGGGATGGCAAAATGTTTTTGAGTTTTTTTCCCCTTAGGTCTTTCTAGACTCCTAAAGGCAAATGACTCCAGGTAACAGAAAAAAAGAAAATCCAGTATCAGGATAATCAGAACACCACAGGTTTACAATTTCTAGAAACTAGATCCACGAGTAGCTCTCACTTTGGAGGAGCTGTCCTTTGGAGAAATGGCTGGTAGTTAACTCTTTCTTTCCCCCCTTAATCAGACTTCTAAAGTGTTTTAACCCCTTAAACTTGTTATTACTGAAAGTATTTGGGGATGGTCTTTAACAGGGAAGAGAGGGGGTGGGGGAGCAAATGTTTTTTTTCTAAGATTTTCCACAGATGCTATAGTACTATTGGCAAACTGGTTAGAGAAGGCATGTACTGCTATGCTGTTGGCACGAACACCTTCAGGGATTGGAGCAGCTTTTATCCTTGGAAGAGTTTTCCCAATTGAAGCTGAAAAGTACAGCACAGTGCAGCTTTGGTTCATAATCAGTCAACTCAGGAGAACTTCAGAAGCGCTTGACTAGGCCAAATGTTGAAGTTAAGTTTCCAAAGTAATTTAAAATACTCATTAAAGGGGAGGGGAAATTTTTGGCAATTAGTTGGCAGTGGTCTATTGTGGTTGGGGTGGGAGGGTTAGGTAATTGTTTAGTTTATGATTTCAGATAATTCATGCCAGAGAACTTAAATACTTAGGATGGAAAACTAAAGAACTCTACTTCCAAGTTGGCAAGTAACTCCCAATCATTTAGTTTTTTTTTCCACCAATTTTGGAATTGGGCATCCTGGGAAGATTTCACTGGGTGTACCAGTGCATTATTAATTTCGGCAAGGATAGTAAATCATGGTATGGTATCTGTTCCCCTGTGTAGGTCTTGGGGAAGGATAAGTGTTGGATTGGGGGTTGGTCTGGCTTATTGTAATGACATCGAGTAGCAACAGTCTTGGGGAATTTTTAAAGCTTAATTTTGGATATAGATGGTAGTGTGTGGTTCTCTTTTGGAATTTTTTTCAGGTGATTTAATGTAACTTAATACTACTATAGGAACTTCAGAGCAAAGGAAGTGGCTTAATGATCCTGAAGGGATTTCTTCTGATGGTAGCTTTTATATTATCAAGTAAGATCCTGTTTTCAGTTGTGAGCAAGTTTTTCTAGTGTAGGAAAAATTTTTCCTTTGGCAAAACAAGATGTAAAGGTATGAAATTTTGTGAATTGTATCTTAAAAACTTGTATCTTAAACTTGTAACTATTTGTAAATCATAACTTATTAAGAATTGTGATACTTAAATGTCTCTTAGAGGGTGGGCATTTGATGAGGGAGGGGAAACCTTTTTTTTTTTCTGTAGACTTTTTTCAGATAACATCCACTGAGTCATAACAAGCCTGGCAGTATGATGGCCTAGATGCAGAGGGAACAGCTCGTTGGTGAATGATAAGTAAAGGCAGAAAAGATTCTGTCATGCCTCCATTGGGGACTAAGCATAACCCTGAGATCCTTACTACTGATGAAAATATTGTCTGCATATAAAAAAGAGAAAGCTACCAATTTAAAGTTTTATGGAATCTACCATTTTAAAATTATGGCTTATTGAGCTATATTCACAAAAGAATTGATGAGAAACGTGAAGATCAAATGTCCATCTCAAAACACTGCTTTTACAAAAGCAGAATAAAATGGACAGAAATGAAAATGATTGTATACACTACATTGTTCCCGAAGTAAAAGAAACTGAAATAATTGAGTGGGATTCAAGTGGATGTGAGAGGAGGCTGTGCTGTGTGCCAATCTTTCGTTTGCCTCAGACAGGTTTCTCTTCCGTTATCAGAAGAGTTGCTTCATTTCATCTGGGAGCAGAAAACAGCAGGCAGCTGTTCACAGATAAGTTTAACTTGCATCTGCAGTATTGCATGGTTAGGGATAAGTGCTTATTTATAAGAAGGTGTTGAACCGGGCACTCTTTCCTGACCCCTTCCTTAGGGGGATTTCAGGATTGTGAGACATTTTCCCATCTAGCCTTTTTAAATTGTGCCTTGTGCCTGTGCGCTTCCATGATGGGATGGTACACCTCAGAGGCATTTGCACCATAATTCCTTAAAAGCCTCTTAAGTGACTAGTGCCTTAGTCATAATGCTTAACAAAACAAAGGAAATATTTTTAACATTGAACCTATAAAACCCTAAAAGGGATAGCATAATATACTGTGAAGAGTCAGCTATGTTAATTTTGATTAAAATTTCTGTGTTACCTTACAATGTATATCGTGCCTAAAACCATTAAATCGTATAAATTAATAAAATATTTTATTAGAGAATGTATGCTTTTAGAAAGCTGTCTCCTTATTTAAATAAAATATTGTTTGTCTGTAGTTAGTGTTGGGGCAATCTTGGGGGGTATTCTTCTCTAATCTTTCAGAAACTTTGTCTTCGAACACTTTAATGGACAAGATCAGAATTGAGCGGAAGACCGAATTTTAACTAAGGCAGGAAAGACCAATTTTATTCTTCATAAAATGATGAGCATTTAATTAATAATTCCAGGCACATGACAATAGAGACCCTTAAATAAGGAATAAAATACCTTTTAGACAGGTGGGAGATACAGATCAGAATAAAAGGTAACTACACATTTTGTTTCCAGATAGCCAGGGGTCTAAGTTGACAGTGATTAAACTAGAATAAGATAATTTTTCCACATTTCCATAGTTTGCATGTTAACTTTAAATGCTTATAATCATCTCATCAATTGTTGGCCAATGTTTTACACAGTTGAGCTAGGAATTTGGGGCATGTCGGTTTTAAGAATTTTCCTTTGCAGAGGCTTCATTTCATCCTTCATGAAGCTGTTCAGGATTTTGACTTGCATATGAGTGCTTGGCTCTGCCTTCTGCTAGTGAGTGTGAGACCTTGCAGTGAGTGTATAAGAATACTCAAATTTTCCTGGAATTTGGAGGGAAGGGAGGAGGGGATGGGGCTTACTTGTTTTAGCTTCTTTTTTTACAGACTACACAGAGAAAATGCAGTTGTCTTGACCTCAGGTCTGTCTATTCTTTTGGCAAGTAATAATGCAGTACTGTTCTGATCTGCTGCTATTAGAATGCATTGTGAAACGACTGGAGTATGATTAAAAAGTTGTGTTTCCCCAATGCTTGGAGTAGTGATTGTTGAAGGAAAAATCCATGAGTGATAAAGGCTGAGTGTTGAGGAAATTTCTGCAGCTTTAAGTAATCCATGTTTGTGATTGAAGCCAAGTACCTTTTGCTGTGCTGCTTTAGGTAAAATGCTTTTTGTTCTTTCTGGTAGGGGGGTGGGGGGACACTGAAGCCTTTAGTCTTTTTCAGATTCCACCTTAAAATCAGTGACAAGAATAAATTCAAACAAGCAACTCTTCAAGAAATTTAACTGGCAAGTGGAAATGTTTTGAACAGTTCAGTAGTCGTCAGTGCATTGTCTTTTTGTGGGTTTCTCTCCCCCTTCCCTTGGTCTTAATTCTTACATACAGGAACGTTGAGAACAGCAGACATATGTATGCGAAGGGCCAGAGAAGCCAGACTCAGTAAGGAAAAAATAGCCTATTTACTTTAAATAAACAAGTCAAATATTTCATTTTAAATGTGGGAATTGGGAACTACTAGTCTTTCAGATGGTATTCTTCAGACTATAAAAGGAACTTCCAGTTGATTTCACCAGTGGACAAATTGAGGACAACAGGTGAACAAGCTTTTTCTATTTTTACAAAGATCAGTTATGGGTAAACAACTCAGTGTTGAACAGACTTCAGCTTTATGCTGGAGTCAGTAGCATGTGATCAAATTGTGTGTTGGCCTTGGGGGTGGAGGGGTGAGGTGGGCGCTAAGCCTTTTTTTAAGATTTTTCAGGTACCCCTCACTAAGGCATCGAAGGCTTAAAGTAGGACAACTGGAGCCTTCCTGTGGCAAGAGAGACAACAAAGCGCTATTATACTAAGGTCAATAAGAGTGGTTTCGGCCTCAACCTAATTTTTATTAGTAATGAGGACTTGCCTCAACACCTTCTGGCATCCAGACGAATGCTCCTGGGCTTACCTTAATATTTGAATAGCTGTTTTTATAGCAGCTTATGAAAAAGCCCAGATCTCAAGTGGTGTTTGAGGGGAGGGAAAGGGGGAAAGCGGGCAACCAGTTTTCCCTAGCTTTTCCAGAACCTGTTTAAAGCAAGGTCTCCCCACAAGTGACTTCTCTGCCACATCGCCACCCCCTGCCTTTGGCCTAGCACAGACCCTTCACCCCTCACCTCGATGCAGCCAGTAGCTTGGATCCTTGTGGGCATGCTGCATAATCGGTTTCAAGGTAACCATGGTGCTGAGGTCTGGTGGGTTGCACTACTTTAGAAGAGGCCGTTAATCTATAAATTTTTAACAGAATATTAAAACCACAGAAATAGCTGTTTTTTTATGTATATACACTTATCCAGTGACTAAAACCAACTTAAACCAGTACATAGAGAAATGTCAAGAATGTAATATTGGGTGGGAACATGACTTGTCAGCTGACAAAGATAGACTTTAGCAGTGGAGAGGACTGCTGGGTGGGATTGCAAAAATTCTCTGCTAAGACTCTTTCAGGTGAATATAACAGACTTGGCCAAGCTAGCATCTTAGCGGAAGCAGATTCTCCAGTGCTCTTCAGTAGGGTTGTAAAAGGTTTTTCTTTTCCTGAGAAAACAAATTTTTGTTTTCTCAGGTTTTGCTTTTTGGCCTTTCCCTAGCTTAAAAAAAAAAAAAAGCAAAAGATGCTGGTGGTTGGCACTCCTGGCTTCCAGGACGGGGTTCAAATCCCTGCAGCGTCTTTGCTTAAATTCTTAATATCTGTCTTTAGGAGGTGCTGTCTCAGAAGGTGGGAATGCCTCAGAACTATACATAGCTTTTTTTTTTTTTAACATTTTTTAGTTGTAGATGGACATAATATCTTTATGCCTCATGCATGCTAGGCAAGCACTGTACCACTGAGCCACAACCCCAACCCTATACATAGCTTTGTTTGAAGTCTGAGTGGGTTGTAGATTGTTTTCATGTGAGTATCTGATAACTGTTGTCTTTTTCAGGTAATCCTGCATCTAGTGCTTGGATAAGCCCCATTTTGTGAAATAAAAAAATTGAAAAGCTCTACCAGTGTGTTTCCTTTGTTTATAAGCCTTTTATGTTCAAATGTGCCATAACTTATCTGTATAAAGTACACTGAAAGTTCAGCCAGTGCAGTGATACATGATGTAATCAGCAGCAGCTCAGGAAGTGGAAGCAGAAGGGAAGGATGGTGAGTTCAAAGCCAGTCTTAGCAAAAGTGAGGGTGCACTAAGCAACTGAGACCTTGTCTCAAATACAGTAGCGGTTGAGAGTTAAATCCCCAGCATCCCCCCCAAATGTATTGAGTGCGAAAAGATGGGTGATGGTAGCCTTGACTGCTGTTTAATTTATGGTTAATTTATGCAGGGATTACAGTGTAATATTTAAATAGGGAAAGCGACTTGAGGATGAAAGATTGAGGGTAGTGGGAAGGGAATAAGTTAACAGTAGCAGTGGTTCAGGCTCTGTTCTGCTCCTTGTAGGTCGGCCATTGGGTCTCCCTAAACCCTATGATTTTTTTGTTCTATTGGGATACTAACAGCATGTTTGTGGGAGGACTGGCCTGTACCCTAGGTGTGGTGGTCCTCCCACTCTGCACCTACATTTTTTTTTTTTTTTAACTAGGAATGGAACTTATTTTTAGGGCCTATGCTAAATTGCTGAGGCAGGCTTTAAATTTGATCCTCAGGCCTAAGCCTTCTGAGTTGCTGTTAATTGGCATGTGCCACCACTCCTAGCTCTTCACCTCCAACTTCCCCTCAGGTGTGCTTTTTGTTGCTGCTCAGACCCCAGTCCTGGAGTGTAATGCCCATTCCAGGAAATCGGCCACACCTTGGAGAGGTTGGGCAAATGAAGTTGAACCCAGCACCCTCCCAACCCAGAGGCAGGGTGGACTAGGGGTGACAGGCCCTCAGAAGAGACATCTTTGAACACAGCAAGGCCTTGCCCAGTGCGTTTGTGCACACCTGTAATCCCAGCCTGACATTTTGAGAGACTATCACCCTAGAACTGAGGGTGGAGCTCTGGGTGAGCACACCTGGGTTATTGCCTGACATTGGCAAAGGTGAAAGCAAACTGATTAGTCTCTGCTAAGGAAACTGCTGGATTTGAACTGTAATCGGTCTCCAATATGTGATCCTCCGCCACTTTTTTCAGTGTCAAGTGTCCTCACAGGAGAAAAAATGGCTCAGACAGGTCAGTCAGTTTTGCAGACCAACTCTGACCTTTTCCCTTGAGGTGATATAATGGGAGCGGGGACCAGCTCTCCCTATTTAGGGGAGAAGTGGAAGTAGACACCGCATAGCACCCTGTCCTGGATAAGGGTCCGTTCTGAACTGGTGTACAGCCTCAGGGTCTTCTGGAGTAAGTTCCTTGTATTTCCAGAACCTTAAGCTCTGAAGGAACAAAGACTTACTTCA